TCCCCACCTACTCCCCCAGCTTGCTAACGGGCAGCTCAGGAGACTACAAAGCAGCCCTGCCTCTTGCCATAGATGTTGGCTGTGGCATCTCTCCTGCACAGGCTGCTCTCCAATGGAGTCCGACAGAAATTTCTAGCTGTTAGTAACCACTTGGGTGGAAGGGCAGTGAGCATGTTAGCCACACCCACTCCCAGAGTCCCTCGGTGGGCGCCGGAGATGGCAGGGCTAAGGCCAAGCTCCAGGCTGTTTCTGGCTTGATGTTTTGAGAGTTCTTTCCCTGAGAAATACAAACAGCTACCCCTTCCCTGTAGGGGTCCAACGACAAACTCAAATGCAATTCACAGAAGTCCAGCTGGGAAAACCAGTGAATTTACTGGGATCACTTACAGGGCATAGGTGAAGGGTTATTTTTAAGAGCATTGGTGACCTCAAAGTAGCCACGCCACTAAAAAGTTTCCCCACAGCATGGGTAATGACTTCCTATAGCCACATAAATGGAGTCTCACCTCCAGTTAACTCTATAAACTCTAGCACCTCCTAAGACATAAGGCTATATGCAGTTAGGGCAAAAATTATCGACAATGGGCCTAAACGTACAGGAAGAAATGGCTGGAATCTCAGGCAAGGGTCCATTGACCCTCCCTCCCTACTTCCCCTCCCTATGAGGGAATGGCAACAGTTGGTCCCATCTTGAGGGTCCTTTACGAATAGTCACAACGACATGGATGAGGGTGATGGCTGTTCAGGGGCCTTTTTCACAGGCCCTCCCTCCACAGAGCTTGTTCCAACTTCACATCCCACAGCAGAGGGTACCATCCACTTTGCAGATAGATAGGACCACATCCCACAGCAGAGGGTACCATCCACTTTACAGATAGGACCACATCCCACAGCAGAGGGTACCATCCACTTTGCAGATAAGATCACATCCCACAGCAGAGGGTATCATCCACTTTGCAGATAGGATCACTGAGGCACTGAAGCAGAGTCCGCTGGCTTGGATTTCTTAGAAATTGGGGTGCCCTTTCCTGGCTAGTGGCATTGATCCTGCTCTGGTCAAGCACTGCCCTGTGGCACTGCCCAAGCACTATGCCACTGGAAGGGCCCTGCTGACCCCTCCCTTCCCTTTCCTTCTGTGGTCTTCTAGGTGCTGGTTTGGCAAACGTCCTGGAGTGTACACTGATTACATCTACCAGGGCCCCATGATCCTGGTCCTGCTGGTAAGAGCCTGGGGAGGTAGCAGGAGACAAGCCACCATGGGGAGGGACAATCTGGATAGAAAGGACCCTCTACTAGGTGGCCACCGAGGGGAACCTGGGCCAGGAATTTTAAGTGTTAGGGAGAGAAGGACCGAAGAAGAGGAAGTGGGAGAGGGAGCGAGAAGAGGGGCAGGGTGAGTGACTGCAGAGAAACACCAAGAGCAGAGCTGAGAGGACTGAGGGCCTGGCCCGCCGACCCCCACCCACCTCCATTTCCTGCATGTGTCCCTGCCACATGTCCCCATCCCTGCCACCCATCCTCACTCCTGCTGGTATGCTCCAATTACAGATCAACTTTATCTTTCTCTTCAACATTGTCCGCATCCTCATGACCAAACTCCGGGCATCCACCACGTCTGAGACTATTCAGTACAGGTACCTGGCTCCCCAGGGGTACTTCCGAGGTACCAGCCTCCTCTGAACCAGCTCTCTTCCAAGCCAGTCAGTCAACCCAGAAACTGCAGCTCCACCTTCTTAGACACCCCAGAGACCATCTCCCAAACCCATCACTCTCCCCAGAGCTAGCGGGCTCACCCCTCCTGGGTAGCCTGTGACTCTTGCCTCTGTTCCACCCTAGGAAAGCAGTGAAGGCCACTCTGGTGCTGCTGCCCCTCCTGGGCATCACCTACATGTTGTTCTTTGTCAACCCTGGGGAGGATGAGGTCTCCAGGGTCGTCTTCATCTACTTCAACTCTTTTCTGGAGTCCTTTCAGGTACCTGCATTCTCCCTGAGCTCCCTGAGCTCCCTGAGCTCTCTCCTCTGGCTCTGGGAGAACCTATTTGCACCTATAAGAGTGAGGATTCTTCTGGCAGAGGCCTGGAGGATCGGGGGGCTGGAGCAACCTGGGCTGGTCAGACCCCACTCACCTCTGACTCCCCTCTTCCCCTCAGGGCTTCTTCGTGTCTGTGTTTTACTGTTTTCTGAACAGTGAGGTAAGAACCTAAGGCCAGGGCTGAGACTACCAAGACCGGAAACTGTCCCCTCATGTCTCTTCTGCCCTGGGCTCCCTTCCCTCCCTCTTCCCAGGTCCCATGGGTTGCTGCAGGGAACTTTGAGAAGTCCCTGTCCCTGTTGATCTGCATCTGTGAGGACAGCCCCCCTTCTGACTTTAGGCATGGCATGGGAGGTGGCTAGAAGATAGGGTCTCTGTCTTTGGAGGAGTTGGGAAGGGTAGGGGTTCTGTATTGGCAAGGCCAGATGGCACCTTTGTTAGACTAGAAAAAGGTGTCCCTTCCTCACTTGAGAAAACTGACTCGACAAACAGCAAACTAACAGTAGTAATTACGTGAATTATACAGATCCTGTCGTGACACCTGGTAGCTGCTTGTAGCAACCGAGAGGATGCTGGGCTGGGGGCGGGGGTGTCCTGAGCCTGAGCTCTGATGTCACCTGTCATCCTGTGCCCACAGGTCCGCTCTGCTATCCGGAAGAGGTGGCATCGGTGGCAGGACAGGCACTCGATCAGAGCCCGAGTGGCCCGCGCCATGTCCATCCCCACCTCCCCCACCAGAGTCAGCTTCCACAGCATCAAGCAGTCCACAGCAGTGTGAGCCGCAGGCCACAGAGCAGCCCCCAGTCCTGAGGCTGGGGGAATAATGCAAGCTCCCTGGCGAGCCTGTCTGCAGAGGCAGCCGGCCTTCCCACTCCTACCCCTGGGCTGCAGACCTGAACGCCTGCCCAGCTGTAGACGATGGCTCATAGCATTGGGCTGGGCCCACAGCATCTGGCTCCCTGCTGCCCATTCTTCTCGGAGAGCGGAAATGGAGACCAGACCGGGGGCTAGAAACCCTGAAGCAGGTTAATGGGCCCTGTGAAAGCTGTCTTTCCCCAAAGCAGCTCACCGAAGATCTTTAGTCTTCAGCAGCTGTGGGGAGGCCACTTGCTACCCCAGGGCATCATGGGAAACTCTCTCCTGTGATTGTGAAGCCTCTGAATCTTGGCGATGCCTTTGGATGCTACCGAGAACCAATGTCACACGGTCCAGTCAGGGGACCTGGAGATAGCGGTAGAAATCTGGCGGCGTCATCAGATAGCACTCCACTACCCTAGAAGCCACTCCTGAGCCACCAGAATGTCATCAGCACCATGGCACTGCCACCGGAAAGCCCTGCTTTGCTGCCTTGCACCCTTAGACGTTTACTATTCTGTGGGCCAATCCAGCTTTCTGCCACTTACCCACTGACAACAACAGTCCCCTCGCCCTGAAATCCTACCACCTCTTGCCTCTGGGTGTCTTCTGATTTGTGAGAAGGTGGGGGTTGGGAAGGGGACTGAGTTGCCCGTGAGGGACAATCAAGTGGCCCCAGCCTTTAAGGCAGTAGTGTCCCCTGGGTGCCCAGGCCACTAGTTTTGTTGGCTGGCCTCTGGAACACGCTCACAGGCTGAGTGAAGCAAGAAGGGCCCTGTGCTCAAGTGCCCTGAGCCAGGACAGGTGGCTCCTGGGACAACTAACTGGCAGACCCCTTACTCCCAGGCATGGAATGGCCCAGCTGTCACTGTGTCACAGGGCTGAGGCGCTGCAGCAGGACCGAGGTGGGGGGTTGTGATATAAATAATATTTATCTTTTCAACTACCTTTGTGAAGGTTTGCACTCTGCTGGGGCTGGGAGTGAGCCATAGGGGTCCTCTGAGAAGTAGACATCAGGGACTACTGCGTAGCATGAAGCCTGATCCCACTCACACCATCCAGGATGAGCCCGAGGGCTGGAGGCAGGGTATGGACTCCAGACATGAAGATATGGGTGTGATCAAGAATGCTTACCTAGTAAGAAACAGCTCTTGCCGGGTGGTGGTGGCGCACACCTTTAATCCCAGCACTCGGGAGGCAGAGCCAGGTGGATCTCTGTGAGCTCGAGGCCAGCCTGGTCTACAGAGCAAGATCCAGGACAGGCACCAAAACTACACAGAGAAACCTTGTCTCGGAAAACAAAACAAAACAGTTCTTGGTGAGGAGGCTTCCCAAAAGCAGACATGGAGATGTGGTTGCCAGGGCAATCCCAAGGCAGGACCGGAGGTGGGGAAGGCCAAGCACGGAGAGAAAGGGAAAGGTCGGGCGGCATACATGCACCGTGGCAGGTGGCTGGAGCTTTGGCTTGCTGAGGAGCCTGGAGCACGAGGCAAGGGAGCTGAGTTGGGATATTTATCCACCAACTCCTGCCACTCATTGTTCACTGATTTGAGCTGCTCCCAAGGGACATGCGTTTCCCTGCACTGGCTACCTCCATGTGATCGCAGAGTTGTCCGGGGCAGCACGCTGCAGGCCTCTAGAAGCCAGCATGTTGTACCTTGTAAGCACAGAGACTGGTGGAATTCCCATGAGGGTCCCAGTGCCACCTGGGACATGCCTCTGTGTCTCTGGCCAGGGAGGAAGGTCACCTATGCATGCACACACATGCACACAATTGCATTCGAGGGTACGTGGCATGAAATGCCAGGAGCAGACTGAGATGGCTGTGGCTGGAGAGATCCATACCTCCTGCTGTGCCAAGGGGATTGATAGAGGAGGGGGTGTATTCTTCAAGGACACATGGAGTGAGTGCCCTCCCTGCCGATTACCCAAACAGAAGTGTGCCCTCAAGTGGAGGTGGGCATGGGAGGCCCAGAGAACACCCAGACAGCCATGAGCTGAAGGCTTCTACATCAATTTGGGAGTATGGGGTGGCCTAGGGAGGGCAAAGGACAGCCCTGCCAGATGACCGCAGGGACCTAAAGTGGCTGAAAGTCAAATAGTCACACTGAGATGGTTCTCCACTCTTGTCTTTCAACCTGAGCAGAAGAGGGAGAGAGCAAGGTGTCATTCAATGTGGCAGCATGGGCCTGTGTCCTAAGGAAACCGGGGCCTGCTGTCTCGGAGAAGCTGGTGTGCCTGAGCGAGCAGGGGCGGGTTGAGATGAGGGACGGGCCTCCTGTCCAGAGGCTGTAAGAGGAGGCTGCCTGGGGATAAGTAGGAACACTAAGCAGTGAGTAGCTTCAGGCAGTGTCTGGGCAGGCCCCTCAGTGGACATCAGGGGCCATTCTGCTCCGAGGTTGGGGGGGGGGATCTTCCTCTGGCTGTGAGTGGATTGACCCACGCCACTATGTGGAAGGGCCGAACAGTTGCCAACTGGAGTCACAGGGCCCTCTTCGGCCCCAGGATGGATCTGTCCCTCATGTCCGAAAGAACGCTTTTCCATATCACACCCAGGGAACACAGTCTCCTGAGAGCCACCCTCTTGCAAAAGATCTCACTTCTCCTGCGGTTCTCTTGGTGGACACAGAGCAGCAGGGGGAGAAGCGCTCTCTTCCTGAGGGCAAAACAGTCCCCACTCAGGGATTCTGGTTCCCCAAGCCTCTGTGCTGAAGAGGCATTTGCCTTAGGACTAAGATAGGAACAGCCAGATCAAGGTAAACTGCCTTCTGAAGAGGGAGGGGAAAGGGTTTAGGATTCAGATAGTCAACCTTACCTTAACCGGGTCCGCTGTAGGTTGCTTTATCATCTACCAAATCTATTCTAACATGTTCTCCAATCCTTAACTCAGTGGGGAATCAGCCCATTCTGCAGCAGAGGAAACCAAGACTGGGGATGGAAGGCTTGGCTGCACATCGGGGATCTTCCCTTTCTGGAGTGCTCCAGCCTTGGCTTGGAAAGCCAAGACCCACACAGCAGCACTGGAGCCAAGGGACAGTGAGGTTGACATAGGGTCTCAGGCTGACCCCAACAGTGTGTCACATTGGCGTCATCAGTGGTACCATCAGTGCCAGGTCAGCTGGGGAAGAAGAAATTGAGGCTGTGTGCTCAGGGTCTCTCCTCTTCTCCACTCCACTCATCCCCTCCTTCAAGTGATGCTTCATGTCAAACCGTACAGCCCAGGTCACCAGAAGCCACTGTCAGCCTTGTGTTCCCCATCCAGGATCCACTCAGCCCCTGCAGAGGATTCCACTAGCCTCAAATCCATCTCCTCCAGGTCCACCCATGATTTCAAACTCACCGATTTGACCACGCTGGGCCCAACACGAGGAGGGAGCCTCTGCAGCCACCCTGATCCCAGCCCTGTCAGTGGACACCAGGCCTCAGTTGGGGGTCACACTCACTGCTCGTCATTCAACCCTATAAAGCAGCTGCTGCTCTCCCATTTAATGGGTGAGAAAAATGGAGCCCAGAGAGGATAAGAGGCCTTCCTGAGGGTACTCAGCAGTGACATGGCTGGATGAGAACCCAGGCAGCCTCAGGTGTTCCAGTATTCCACCACTTACCCGCAAGACCCCATTGCAAGGTGGCTCTCTATCTCCTCCCTTTGGGGACATTCTTCGGCTTCCCAGTCAGTTGACGAGTAGTACTCAGAGATGAGCTAGTGGAAAGAGCCTGCAAAATACAAGCCTCAGACTGCCCACCTCCCAGTGTCCCAGTCTGCCCTGGCTGCACATTCCAGCATGGCCTCCCAGTCTCCTGCTAACACACCAACCCTGTAGACCCTGGAGCTCAGGGTGGAGGAAGACCTGGACTGCGTGAGTTTTGCAAAGCTCTTCGCATTCAGGGAACAGTCGTGAGATGAGTTCCAGACCACTAGCCACTCCTCCTGTCTCTCTGTGGGGTTCTAGACAGACCCCCGAAGCCCAACCTCATTACCCATTGGACAAAGGCACAGGGCAGGGGCAGGGCCTTTTAGAGACCCAGAGAGGCTGAGGAATACCACAGACACCCAGCTAGGGTGGACAACATGGAAGTGTCCCTTCTTTAGCCTTCATTCCCAGGGTGATGGGGAGGACACAAATAGTGTCCAGGCCCAGATCTGCTCCAGCTGGAAAGGTGTGGGCCATTGAGCCAGGCCAGGAGAGGGTCTATGGCACCCGGTCCCTTCCCCACCTCCTAGAGTCCCTGCCCTAGGCTAAGACCCGCTGCCCCCATCTGCAGTCCTTGCTGCCTTGATTGGATGAAGATAAATATTCCAGCTGCCACCTAGACCTGGGTCCCCCTGGAAGGCAGACACTTTGTCCCAAACTACCTGGGGAGCCCCTGAGATCCCAGATCCTAGGTGAGGGTGGCAGTGGGGTTTTCAGGCAACATTGCCAATGCAGGAACTCACCCAGAAGGTTGTAACTGGAGGTCTTTAGAGGATTCTGCAGAAATAGAGCCTGGAGAGTAGCGGAGGTGGCAAGAGTCCCAGCTGCTCCTGTGAAGGCACTAACAAAGGCACCGAGTAGCCACACAGACAGGAGGACAGTTCCAGAACTGGTGGACTGGGGGTTCTGGGCCACCGGGGACTGACTAGGTCTCCCCAAACCCCCAGTGAACCAGACACAAAAGGCACATGGAGTGAAGGGTTCAGAGGATTCTGTGAACCTAGGGCACCCCCAGCCTGAGGATCTTGCATGGGGGATGGTAGAACCAGCAATACGGTGTGCTCACATAGTCTCAACTTCATTAGGGCACCCACCGGCCGCCAGAGTCCTGATGAACCAGTTCTGGGGACAGTGCTACTGCAGTGGACCAAAGTGAAGTCTTGGTTTCTTGGTTTTAGTTTTTTTATGGTAAAGTACACATGAACATAAAAACTCAGATTCCAACATGTGAAAGCATACAATTCTGAGGTGTTAATATCATCGTAGCCTACAAATGTGTTTAGTTATTATATGTCAATAAAATACACCACAACACTATTTCCAGAATGTTTCATCATCCTGAATGGGAACCCCATCCCTCCCCCTCCAGCCCTGGCCACGGTGAATCTGATTTCAGTTCTTGTGGGTGGATCTCCCTAGGATGCCAGCTTCTACAACTCTCGGTATAACTGAAGAGGAATCTGCCAGCCTGCTTCCCATATGGCCATGCCACTCTGCGTTCTCAGCAGCTGCGCAGAAGGCTCTAGCTTGTCTGTATCTTCCCTTGTGGCTGAGTTGATTGGTTGGTTGGTTCTGAGACAAGGTCTCATGTAGTCCAGTTGGCCTCAAGCTTGCAATGAAGTCAAGGATAACTTTGAACTTCTGAACCGCCTGCCTCCACCTCCTGAGTGCTGGGATTACGGGCATGCAGCACCACACTTGGGAGCATGCAGCGCTGGGGATTGAATGCAGGGCTTCACACACACTAGGCAGGCACTCTACCAACTGAGCTACATCCTCAGCTGTTGGTTTTTTAATAATAGCTGGCTCCATGGATGTGTTGGTCTTGATTTCTAAGACTCCCTATTGGGAGCAGGGCTTTAGTAAGGATCGTAGCCTTTGGTGAAGGCTGCCTGTCTGGCCAGCATCTGAGTGCTTGGATCTAGAGCAGTGATTCTCAACCTATGGATTATGATCCGAATGACCCTTTCACAGGGGGTTGCCTAAGATGATCGGAAAATACAGATATTTCCATTACAATTCATAACAGTAGCAAAATTACAGTTGTGAAGTAACAATGAAAATAATTGTATTGTTAGGGGTCACCACATCATGAGGAACTGTATTAAAGGGTCACAGCATTAGGAAGGTTGAGAGCCACTGATGTAGAGGGATGCACTCAGAAGAGACATTGCTGCCGGGCAGTGGTGGTGCATGCCTTTAATCCCAGCACTCAGGAGGCAGAGGTAGGAGGATCTCTGTGAGTTCGAGGCCAGCCTGGTCTACAGAGTGAGTTCCAGGACAGCCAGGGCTACACAACGAAACCCTGTCTCGAAAAACAGAAAACAAAAAAAGAAGTGACATTACCACGTGCCCTGACAACAGTTGTACATGCTGAGCCTCCGCCCAGACCCAGGCCCCTTAGCAATGCATCTGGGCCCCTCGGAAATAAAGATTCTGGAGAAGGGACCAGAGGAGCCCATGGCAGCCCCTCCCTGGGCCCTGCACACTGCCCCAGTGGGTGGCAGGTCGCCAGTCCGTTGTGCTGACTCCCTAATGTGCTTCTGACAACTTGCTTGGCGTCGTAATTACTGTTGGCAATGTAATTAAATGTTATGTTAATGGATAGATCAGAAGCGCACAAACAAGGGAACACAGTTTTGATGACAATTCATTTGGCTGCTCTGAAAGACACAGTTACAAATGAGTCACCAAAAACTAAGCTGTCCAATTAGGTGTTGGCAAGACCAATGTAAATAATCAGGGGCAAGAAAAAGTCAGAATCTAAATGTGGCCTGCTGACCACTTTACAGTGCTCCTTAAAAAATGGCCTCCACGTCAGAGAATCCGAGCTGGGTTCTGGGAATATCTTTCATCCCCTCTTATTGACGTGGAGTAAACTAGGCCTTTGCAGTATAATTGAATTAAGAATGTGTGGGCTGTAAGTCATGGTGACACAGACGCAGACAGGGACAGTGCTGTGTGACAATAGTTACAGAGTGGAATGACTCACTCTAAGCCAGGATGGCCCCAAGGCTCACTGGCCACCGCCTAGGAAGAGGTAAGCAAAAATGCTACCTAGACTCTCCGCGGCCCAGGCTGCTACAGTAAGTACAGCAGACAAGATGTTCAAGCAACAGGCATTGATTCCTTGTGGTTCTGGAGAATGCAGCATCCAAAACCAAGGCGCCCACTGATTCAGGGCCTGAAGATGGCTCTCCACCTATGTGGAAGGGCCCCTCTCTCATTGTGTCTTCACAAGGCCAACACAGAGATTATCTCTCTGGCGTCTCTTCAATAGCTTCTAAGAACCTGATGGGAAGGCTCCTATCCTACGATCTAACCACCTTCCCTCACACTGTGGGCTAGGCCTCAGTGTGCAGATGAAGGGGGGACACAAACCTTCAATCTATAGCCTACTTACACCTTCCAGAATTAGGAGGGAACGCATTTCTGGTTGTTGCTGTTGTTGTAGCACACATGAGCACATGCGCATGGGGCAGGGGCGGGGGCAGGGAGAGAGGGAGAAAGAGAGACGGGGAGATGGGTGAGGTTATGATTGAGGCGGGATCTTTGTAGCCCAAACTGGCCTCAAACTCACCATCTTCCTGCTGCTGCTTCCCTAGTACTGCGATTAGGTATGCCTCACTACACCTGGCTCCATTTCCAGCATTTTCTTTTTTAAATTACACTTTATTTATTTACTAAGTGGAAGGGTGTACATGCGCCATGGCGTGTGTGTGTGTGGAGGTCAGAGGACAACTTTCAAGAGCTGGTTCTTTTCCTGACACTATGTGGGTTCTGGATTGAATTCAGGTAGTCAGGCTTGGCAGTGAGCACTCTTACCTGCTGAGCCAACTCGCTGGCCCCATTTCTGTTATTTTAAGTCACACGGTTCATATCATTATTTAGGGAAGTCTAAGCAATTAATGCAATGAATAGGGGCAATAGGGAACACTGTCCCTCCTGTGTGTGTGTGTGTGTGTGTGTGTGTGTTGTATGGATGTATGTATGTAGTTGTCTTACTTTTCTATTCCTGTGACCAAACACCATGACCAAAGATACTTACAGAAGGAAGAATTTCATTTGGTCTGTGGTGTCAGGGAGAGAGTCCCTGACAGCAGGGAGAAGGAACAGCTGAGTCACAAGTTGGTCCACAACCACTGGGCAGTGGGCACACTGGGCATGGCACTAGTCTTTTGAAACCTCAAATCCTGCCCACAGTGACACACATTTTCCAACAAGTCCACACCTCCTAATCCTTCCCAAACAGTTCCACCAACTGGGGACCAAATGTTCAAATAAATGAGCCTATGAGGGACCATTCTCACCCAAACCACCACTATAGCAATGGTGGAGATGTGTGCCCATGGAGGCACACGTGGAGACCAGAGCAGGACACAGCAGTTATTTGTCTCTATCACACCCTAACCAGGTCTCTTGAGAGAGTCTCTCACTGGACCTGAAGCTGCCTAGGGAGCTTCTGGCTTATCTCCACCTCTAATGCTGCGGTTACGGGCACATGCAGCCACACCTGGTTCTTTATGTGGGTGCTGGGATCCAAACTCAGGTCCTCGAGCTTACAGAGCAAGCACTCTTATCCACTCAGCCACCTCCCCAGTCCTAGGGTACAGGATGTTTTTTAAGGACTTCCCACTTCAATTGACTTTGTCAATGAATCTGTCTCCCACCCAGTCCTCAGCATCACCGTCTCCACAGTCCCCGAGCAAATGCTAGATGCAATGGTGACATGCTATGTGCAGTGATTACAGATGCTCTATGCGGTGATAATGGGTCAACCAGGGACTCTACCACTTAGCAGCCTAAATCTGGTTCCTAAACTCAAGTAGGACCTTGGAAAGGTTCCCTGACTGCCCTGAACATCAATCCTGTGGCTGTGAATCCAGTCACTCACTCGCCCACCCCGCACACATTTCCTGAGCATTGCTTTCTGTTCATGGATCTTAGAATACTAAGCAGGGTAGATGGTCTCTGCCTTCACAGACCTCGTGTGTCTTCAGCAGGAGCTAGAACATACCAGACAGGTGCATATGCATTAAGTGCAATGTAGTAGCTAAAACCTGCATTGGGATGGTGGCATCCTGAGAAGGGGGCTGGGTTGTTGTTTTTGTTTTTGTTTTCCTGGGGATGGTGATAGAGATGATATTGGAGCCAAGGCCAAGATGCCATGGTCAAGCAGCAAGTGCCATAGCTCATACTGCCAGGAGACTCAGGGCAGAGGGCAGGTCGGTGGGGCTGAGGATATACGGCTCAGTGACAGAGAGCTGGCCTAGTATGCACATGGTCCTAGGTTCAATCCCCAGCACAAAGAAAGAAGGGGGTTGGATAAACTAGTTAGCAGAGCTAAGGGGCTTCCAGTTGGAGCAGGTGGGCTGTGCTCAGGGTTGACCCAGAGAGAGCTCAGAGTTAGGGCATAAACCCATACTGAGATTCCCTGCTGTACCTGCACCACCTCCACAAGCCCTGGAGACCTGGACCAGTCCCCACCGTGAGGACCTCATCCTGAAACGGAGTCTCTGCTCCTGTACCAAGAGGCTATGCTGGTGACTGATGGCAGGCCTCATCTCCAACAGTGAAGTGTCACAGTGTCACAGGCAAAAAGGTTTGAGTGCCTGACAATAAGGAGCAGAGGATGGCTACAGGCCAGCGGAAAAATCATGGAAACATAGGAGGATGGCCACTCCCCATATCCTCGCTTTTGGTCTCAGGAGCCCCTGGGTACCCCACTTGTGGGTGGCTTGAGGGAGACTGGACAGGATAATGTGGGCGAGTATGAGAGGACATCAGAGCCGGGGTAGAAACTTGCTAGCACCAAGGGTGGGTTCTTGATTCCAAACTCAGCTCCCAGCTCAGCCTCAGAAGATAAGCAGGGAGACCAGCCTAGAATTCACCTCAAAAGGTTTATGCGACATCAAAGTCCAAAGATTTAACTAGTACAAGAACCTTGTAGACTGGTCCACTTGGACTACTCTGAGCCTATTCTACTCTATGATATGCGAGTATCGGGTAAGGCTAAGTTACTATAACAAAGACGCCCACAACAAGCAGATAGCTTATTGTGGAAGATCACCTATCTCCCTAGCAGCAGTGAGCACCCCAGATAACTGTTCCGTGCCGTTGCCCAGGGACCCCCACTCTCTTCGCTTTGCCCCCCTTCCTTCAGGCATTGTCCTCATCACAGTCCTGTCCTTGTCCTGAGTTGCAAAAAAGTAAAAGAGTGAGCAAAAAGCTCCACTCTATTTCCTCCTAGGTTCTGTGAGGGAGGCTGGTGATGAGCTCTGGACAGAGGGATTAATTTAGAAGGACAGTGTACAGCCTCCAGCTAGCGGGGGTATTGTATATGTGCAATGGATACATAAAAACACCTTGCCCTTAACATGTGCTCGCCATGGAGCGCCGTGCACTGGAACCTAGAACCTGGTGTAACGTCCTCATTACTTCACAGTCAATGAAATGAGTCCAGGGACTGGAGAGAGGACTCAGTGAGGAAGAGCGCTAGCTGAGAAATCATGAGGACCTGAGTTTGTATTTCCAATGCCCAGATTTTTAAAAACTGGGATGTGGCCATGCATACCTGTCACCTCAGCCCTGTGGGACAGAGAAATAGAATCACTGGGGCTTGCTAGCTGCCAGCTTAGCTCCAAGTTCGGGGAGGAAACCCATCTTAAGGGACTATGAGGAAGAGTGATGGGATGATGAGGAATCGGCACCCAGAGTTCTCCTCTGGCCTCTGGGTGTGCATAGGTATAAGGACCTACACGCACACCCGTACACACATAATATACACTATACACACTGTCCTGGTTTACTTTATACTGCTGTAATAAAACACCATGACTGAGCCAGGGGGTGGTGGCGCACACCTTTAATCCCAGCACTCGGCAGCAGAGGCAGGTGGATCTCTGTGAGTTCAAGGTCAGCCTGGTCTACAGAGTGAGTTCCAGAACAGCCAGAGCTGTTACACAGAGAAACCCTGTCTCAAAACAAAATAAATAAAAAGAGGAAAAAGAGAGAAAATGTCCCTACAGACTTACCTACAAGACAATATATTGGAGGTCTTTTCTCAACATAGGTTCTTCTTTCCAGATAACTCTAGCTTGTTTTAAGCTGACAAAACAACAACAAAAACAAGCCGAGAGAGAGAGAGAGAGAGAGAGAGAGAGAGAGAGAGAGAGAGAGAGAGAAACCAGTCCAAAGAGGAGAGCTGGCCTGGACTAGGTTATCCAGGAGGAAAGATAAGAAACTGTTTCCAGAATCCTGCCTGGGATCTCCAGCCCCGACACCCGACACTTACTTCATCTTACATGGTTTAGTCCTACCGGGCGCCTGGGCAGGGAGGAGATCTCAGATGACCTCCCTATTGGATCCAGGGTTGGGAACATGGCCCTGAGAGGAGCCTGTGTCCCATAGCAGTGCCCTTCATCACTTTATGACAAGGTAGGTGTGGCTCTGGTTTCCAAGACAAGTGGCCAAGCTACTCTGTGACAAAGAGCCACACCCTTCCCCTGGGAGGGGAATAGAGCTGTGGGCAGCTGTCTCCTTGGGAGGACACAGTAGGTGGCTGAGGAGGATGTTGTGCCTGGGTTCCCTCCTCCCCGTGGGCTCACTCCTCCTCCTCCTCCTCAGCCCTGAGGCCCGGGGGGAATACGGCGTGGTCCGCATTGTGTCAAAGAATTGGAGCAAGGACTATTGTGTCTTGTACAGCTCCGACTACGTCACTCTACCCCGGGACCTGCACCATGCCCCATTCCTGCCTCTGCATGACGGCACCAAGACACCATGGTGTCCGGATGAGGACTCCTTCCACCAGGCCCACGATGGCTCCCCTAGACAGCGACCCCTCCACCAGACTACTACCATGGTGATGCGTGGTAACTGCAGCTTCTACACCAAGGGCTGGCTGGCTCAGGGCCAAGGTGCCCACGGGCTGCTCATTGTGAGCCGGGCCAGCGATCAACAGTGTTCAGACACCATCTCCAAGTCCCAGGACCCCAGCAAACCCCGGCCTGCCCTCACCATCCCGGTGGCTGTGCTCCGCTATACCGACCTGTTGGACATCCTCAGACACACTCACGGTGACACCAATATCCGCGTAGCCTTGTACGCCCCCCTGGAGCCCATCATCGACTATAACATGGCAGTTATCTTCATACTGGCTGTGGGCACTGTTGCTGCAGGTGGCTACTGGGCTGGCCTGATGGAGTCGGACCAGCTGCAGAGGCACCAGGCCCGAAGAGGAGGGGGGTTTGGTGGTCGCCATCAGCCACAAGCGGGGGGAGCTGAGAGGTTCCAGAGGGCCCAGGAAGACGAAGATGATGATGATACGTCTGTGGATTTTACACCAGCCATGACGGGCGCTGTGGTCACCATGTCCTGCTCCATCATGATTCTGCTCTACTTCTTCTACGACTGCTTTGTCTACGTCATGATCGGGATCTTTGGTCTGGGTGCCAGTACTGGCCTCTACAGCTGCCTGGCACCCATAGTGCACCACCTGCCCCCGTGGCAAAACCAATGGGCACTGCCTGACCGCCGGGCTTACATGAAGTTGCCATTACTACTGCTGGCAGGCCTGTGTGCCACGGTGACTCTTCTCTGGGTCATCTACCGCAACGAGGACCGTTGGGCATGGCTCCTGCAGGACACCTTGGGGGTTGCCTACTGCCTTTTTGTGCTGAGGCGGGTGCGGCTGCCCACGCTCAAGAACTGCACCTCCTTCCTGCTGGCCCTGCTGGCCTTCGATGTCTTCTTTGTCTTCGTCACACCCCTCTTCACCAAGACTGGCGAGAGCATCATGGTGGAAGTGGCCTCAGGCCCAGCAGACTCTTTGAGCCATGAGAGGCTGCCCATGGTGCTCAAAGTGCCCCGACTGAGCTTCTCAGCCTTGACGTTGTGTGACCAGCCTTTCTCCATCCTTGGCTTTGGTGACATCGTCGTCCCCGGCTTCCTGGTGGCCTACTGTCATCGCTTTGATGTGCAAATCCGCTCTCGCCAGGTATACTATGTGGCCTGTACAATGGCCTATGCCATAGGCCTGCTGGTCACCTTCGTTGCCATGGTCATCATGGAGATGGGCCAGCCTGCTCTGCTGTACTTAGTGTCTAGCACCCTGCTTACCAGTCTTGCCGTGGCCGCCTGCCGCCAAGAGCTTACCCTTTTCTGGACTGGCCAGGGCAGAGCCAAGATCCCTGCTGGGCCCGTGGCAGAGCCCTCCATGGCTTCTGCGGTAAGCTCCAAGCGGAAGCTGGAGGGTGCGACAGATTCCCATAGAACCAACGGGTTTGAGGAGGCCGCCGACCAAGAGGCAAGGGACTTAGACAGCAACCTTGGGGATGACATGTCAGAGATGGTCACCCTCTCTGAGGACGAAGCCACAAGTCCAGAGGGCCACAGTGAGAGCTCCGAAGGCTGGAGTGATGCCAACTTGGATCCTGGTGAACTATCCCCTGGTTCCCCCATGGCCCTGGAGGAGCTGATGCCTCTGGCCATGTTGATACCACTGATCCCACCAATGCCACCCCCCTCAGAGCTGGGTCGCATCCACACCCAGGCTCAGGTCCACGATGCCAGCCTGCCCTGGATGGGTCTGCATAGGAGAAAGGGCTTGAAAGTGAAGAAGTGCCCGTCAACCCAAGCTCCCCTATGAACAGAGCTCCCGGGACCTGGACCTCTCAAAGGACTTCCAGAACACTGAACAGCAAAGCCAGACAGGATAAGAGATCGGGCATTAGAGAAACTCCCTATCTTCCTCTGGAGTCTCTTTGCTTGTTAGGACCATAAGATAACAGTAACACAGAATAAGTCTATGCAAAGTTGGGAAGGTCCCTGTGGGCTGGTGGCACCTCCAAATTGTGCAGAGGGGGAAACTGGGGATCAGGGAGGTCATGTGACTTGCACAGGTCCACTCAAGATTTGCCCCACCCCCACCCCCAGAGTTCCCTGGGCAGCTCCTTGCCCTTTCTTTGCCTGCCTGGCTCCTTGAACCAAAACCCCCAACCCCTTCATCTGGCACATAGCTACCCATCCCATTTCCTCCACCTCTAATGTCAGCACCCTATTATGGCTTCTTGATCCCTTCACATTCTCTTCATCTCTATTTGCACTTGCTGTTCCCACTAACTGGATGCCTTTCCTGTCACAGAAAGACCCCAACCCTAGGAAATCGTAAGGCTTCCTTCCAAACTCAGCTCACATGGGCTTGCTGAACCCCTCAGCTCAAGGCCCAGACACCAACACTCAGCCCCATCCCTGAGACATTGACTATGCCCCTGCTGTGTGTCTCCTGAGGTAGTGGGCATAGGAGGAGGACCCTGATATCCAGAAGAAGAACGGGAGGATAGGGCGGGTAACAACTTAAAGCCAGGAGTGCAGGGAGCTGGGCCTGAGATGAGAAGCTTTACAGACCACGGGCCAGTTGCCACTGGCTCTGAGTAATGACAGGGTCCTGCAGAACTCAGAGGTCCCGTCTGCAAAATGTGGCTTATGGGACTGTATCCTCTGAAGCAGGGGCATTGACAAGATGATCTCCTTAGGACTCCACCAGGTTTTAGACCATGTGGTGCATTTAAAAGCTGCTTGATCAGCGCAGCTAGACCGTCGAGTGAGAGAAGGCCTTCTGAAAGAGGCCCTGTGGGGGGGTGGGGGGAGGTGGTCACGTCCCAAGGGGCAGTGCTGCAAGGCTGTTAGTGGCAGAGCTGGAGATCTCAGCTCCACACTGACTTAGAGTGTGTCACTTAGGGGAGACTGACCCTCTCCATGCTCAGCTTGCTTATCTGTAGCACAGGATGAGCAATCCACTCTACTGCGGGACTGTCAATAGGTTTGAAACGGTGTCCGTCTGGTGGCCAGCACCCCGCCGGGAGGAAGAGCTGCAGGCTTCCTTCCATCCTCCTTTCATGAAGTGCTCTGACCTTGTTCATACCAAGTGTACCCATCACTCTGGTTTTCTTGTCCTTTGGAGTAGAGTTCAGCTTTGTGAGGGCGAGGACTTTTGTCCTCTTGGTTCATAGGTATATTTCTGAGCCAAGGACAGAGCCTGACATGTCGTAGGTATTTAGTTTCTGTTTGCTAGATGAGGGAAGGGAGGGG